CCCCCAGGGACAGCTTAGTGCCACAGCCACGTTTCTCTGATGAAATGGGGGACCCACACAACAGAAAGGGGGGGTGTGACCCGCAGAGCTGATCATGGAACTGGGAGCAGTGTGATGGTGTCTCTCCAGAGACGCCCCGGGGTCTTTAGCCACCGACTGTGACTGGTTTCAGGAGGAGGGGAAGCCCCCCCTTATGTCACCCTAGGTCTCGATGTCCTGCAGATCTCGGCGTCCCCATGGCAGAGGCTCCACTGCAGAACCTTGGTTTGCCTGTGAGCATCCCAGCAAAATAAATTGGCTGGCCCTGTGGCTCTGTCCCTGACCCCAGGCCATGCCTGTGCCCGGGATTGCCCCAACACAGGGCAGCCCAAGAGCTCCCACCAGCTGCAGGCAGCGGTCAGGCTCCTGCCTGCACCCGCCTCCCCACGCGCAGGGATCCTGCACGCATCGGCCATAAAAAAGCACCACCAAAGCCCGGGAGTTGCAGCGGTGACCTTTTGGGGACAAATACACAGGGAAAGTAAAACTGCACAGCCAGCTTGATGCCTGTGCTGGCCTGAGCCCCAGGGCCGGGCAGGGACCCGCTGAGCCGATGCCACCACCCGGGACACGGAGCCAGGGAGCCGTGCGTGTGTGACACACACGTGCAGGGACGGGTGGGCACGTGGCGTGGGAAGTCCCTTTGGTTCCTCAAGCAGCGGCCTGTGTGTAGGGTCCTTTTCATTACAAAGCATGTAAAAAATGAAGTAGCTGGGATGTATCTTAACCAGGGAGAGATCTGGAGGCGGGGAGAGAAAAAAAATGCACAGTCAGTTTGAAGGATGCTTTGAAAGGGAGTAAAACTTGCTGTTAGGCTTCCCCCTGAGAGCAAGTCCAATCTCTTTCTCTCTTTCTTTCTTTTGGTGCTCTGTTACTCCCCCATGACCAGAAGGCTGCAGGCATTTCAATTCTCTTCTTCAAGTCCTTGTTTCAAAAAAGGGCCCAAAATCCGTTTTCTTCTCAGACGCAGAAAACGGGAAGAACACAATGCAGCTGCCTCTAAGCCTCTCTTCTCCTGTCTCGGGGAGAAAGGAATTCACCAAGCCCTAGAGCCTGACTCACTCACTGTGCGAGCATGAATTAACCAGGAATGTTCGAGAATTATTCCTGAATAATTCATGAACCTGAATTAATCATGCATTTTCATGAATTATTCATGAATAACTCATGGAAATGCAAGGTTTATTCATGCTCCAAAAAACCCAAGGCTTTTTCTCTTCTCTTCTGCTCTCTTTCCCTGTAAGAAACAGACCTGAAACAAGCTTAAGGAGAAAAAAAAATGTATATGGAAAAATAACAGGAATAATAATGCTGAAACAGAACAACCAGGAAAAAAAGAAAGCAAAGGGTCTTTTTTCTTTTTTTTTTTTTTTTTTCTTTGCAGTGGGGACAGCAGGTGGGAGCTTTCTAAGCCGGACAAAGGAGACCTGACAAGGAACTGTGGTGAAGAGACAAGCCCAAGGCAAAGAAGTGTCCGGTCACCTCCTCTCCTGGAGCAGGCAGCTGAGATCTGCATAGACAGGAGACATTTTGCAAGACTCAACACCTGGAAGCAGTGCTAACCAGGCAAGGACCGAGCTCTATTGCTATCAGGATTTTGATCTCTCTCTCTCTCTCTATTTCCTTCTCTCTGTGTTTGTGCATTTGTGCAGTTTTGTTGCTTTCGTTAAGGTAAATGAGCAACTGGTAAGTGGGGCAGGAGGGAGCAGCAGCAGCTATGAAGATCAGGGTTTTTTTTTTCTTTAAATGTTAAAGAAAGGAAAAAAAAATACCCTCTAGAGAGCTTTATTTTGGGGCTTGTTTGCTGTTTGGAATATGGGGCTTTTTAAAGCAGAGCTGTGTTTCTGGGAGGGAGAGGTCTCAGTTAGGCATTTATCCAGGTCTGTAACGTCCCCTGGGCTCAGGAGAGGGCTGGGTGCAGCCGCCATCCAGCAGCAGGGAAGGGGATGCAGGGAGCAAGGCACGCACCACGCAGTTACTTTATATATATGGTGCTTCCTTCTAAAAATAAACCCCAGAGCGTGTCTTGGCCAAGAGAAAAGATTGAAGTGAGTCTGGTGTGAGCCTGTGCCAGCAGGGCAGGCTGGCAGGTTCGGGGAAAGTTACAGCTCCTGGAGCAGCTTTGCTGTAGCTGGTGATGGTGGAGGGGGATAAGGAGAAGGCAAAGGAGGAAGTTCTCCAGGGTGAACTGAACCTCCCAGGTGAGAGGAATCAATACCAGGCTTGATTTTAATGGTGGTGCAGAGGCAAAATAAGAGACTGCAATAAATTGGGTCGTGGCTGCCTTTCCCAACAGTTTGTCCCACCTCCACCTCTCCTCTCCCTGCCCCGTCTCCCCTCCCATGGGCTTTGGGCACTGTGGACGTTTCTCCATGCATTGCCCAGCACAAGGGCTCAGCCCCACTTCCCCAAACCCTTCTGCCAAATGCTGCTGCGGAGCAGAGCAGGATGGTCTGGGGTGATGCTCCGCCAGGGTTCTCAGGAGCTCTGGCAGTTGGTCTCTGCCTAGTTTTGTCCCCATCCATGATGTGTGGGTAGAAACCCTCCCCAAGGCCAGCAGCCCTTGGCTCCTCACCTGCCCCTGTGCCTCAGGAGGTTTTGAAAGCCACCGCTAGCCTGGCTGTTGTTTGCTTGCTGAGCACTCCCATTCCTCCAGGGATTTCAGGCTAGGGTTTCTCCCCTTCAGCTCTAAGAGGAGAAACAGAGCATCTCAGTGGGGAGAGCAGTGGGCCAGGCCCCCTGAGACCAGCTCCTTGAAGCTCTGGTACTTGTCTGCCTTAGATGTGTACTTCACTGCTCCGTGCCTCAGTTTCCCCATGTGTGAAACAGAGGTCATTTGTTGTCGTGCTTATCAAAGCACCGTGATATTTACTGGAGAAAATAACTGTACAGGCAAAGGAATGATCATTTTCTGGAATACTCCTGGGTCTTTTCAAGTCTCTTCTCTGTTCTGCCTTGATACACAGACACGATCCTCCACTGTAGCAAACTACTGCAGACCCACTGCTCGTCTGAGCTGTGCTGGTTCTCACAGGCAGAGGGACCAGCCTGGCTCTGCTTGGTGGCTTATCCAGCATCTGCTCAATGCCTCCTGAGTGAGAGCTGGTCCTGCCTGTGCCCAGGTGCCCCATGTCACGGCTGGAGCTGCATTTCCTCTTCAGATTAAGCTGGGACACACTAAAGGCACGTGGAGCTGTGCCCAGATCAGTCCCAGGACAACCTCCCAGGGAAGGGGTTTAGGATGAGGCAAGCACAGAAGAGCAGGAGTGGGAAAGGAGAAATAATCGGTAGAAAAGATGCAGGGACAAGTATTTTATATCTTCAGGCTACACTGCCTCAGGTAGAGCATCATCTGCCAATCCTGCCAACCACGCGAGAGCACGAAGCCGTGCCGTGACCTTCCCCTCCCGCTCCTCCTGCTCCAGGTGAGCAGCCCCGATGTCAGCCAAGCTCTACGTCCTCATCAGCTGGCCCGACGGCAGCCGGGTGATCAACATCGAGAACATCAAGGAGCCCCGCAAGCCCTTCCACCTCTACGCAGTGGGCGAGCAGGTGCTGGCCCGTTGCCCTGGCTTCAGCGGGCTCTACTGGGGGATGGTGGAAGGCATAAGTGGTGAGTGACCCCCCTCTGGCTTGGGCTTTGCAACCTGGGGCTGCTCGGGAGCACGCTTTAGAGGCTGAATTCAATGCTGAAAAGTTCTCTCTTCCTGCAGAGCATAAAGATATTTTAGAGAAGAAGCTGCTGGAGGGGAGACAGCTCCTGGAGAAGTTAAGTAAGTAGGATGTTTTGAAGATTGCACCTTTCTGCCTCCGCTGAGGTTTTGAGGTGGGAAGATGCTGAGTGCATTGTAGCATAAATCTCACAGTCCTACAATCAGGGTAAAAAGTACCGAACGGGAGGTGGGAGGTACACACCAGTGTACCACACCTGAGTATCCACCTTGCTTTCAGAAGAAGAACCGGCCGTCCACAGCATGATGCCACCCCAGCCAAAAAAATCCAGAAAAACCTTCCCAAAATGGACCCCGGGGAGCGCATCCAGGAAATATCACGGCGACAGGATTTACCCTGCCAAGCCGCTGCTGAGGGCGGCCGAGGCCAGCCTGCCCCATGAGGCTGGCAGCTCCTCCATCGCCAAGGAGAGACGTGCCCTGGGCAGCACGGCAGGAAGCCCCCGCTCGCTGGCGGGGCCCCCCCGCCCGGCCAGCGCCTTCACACCCCCATCCACCTTTGTCACCATGGCCATGCCGGGGACTTCCCAGGGTGAAGAGGACAGGGCTGGTCCAGCTACTAGAGGTAATCGTGGCTATGAATGAGGACTTTAGCTCTCGTCTGCCTCATCCTGAACAGCAGGTTGGGATGGGGACCCGCAGGGCTGCCAGGAGACCTCTGCTTTGCTCCAGGGCCGTGTGTGCTTTCATCCAGGGCTGCACCCGTTAGAGATGAAATTTTGTGGCCTTTTCCACCTGGGAGATCTCCCAGGTCTAAAGGGAGATGCCTGGGCACATGGTGTCGGCTCTACCAGGCACCACCTCTGTCTCCTAGGCTAGTAGTTCTTTCCCTACAAGCCAAAAAAAAAAAAAAAAAAAAAAAAAAAAAAAAAAAAAAAAAAATCAAGCCTGCCTGAATAACTGTGCAATACCCCAAAGCCTTGTGTCTCAATTAGCCAAACCTTCTCAGCTTTGCCTATTTCCCTGCTTTTCCAGCCACTACTACAGACATTAAACACGCTTATAAAAATATGGTAGTGTGTCTGCGTGCTGACTAACGGCAGTGTCCAGAGACACACTGCCTCTGCCCGCCTTGCCATGTCTTTTGTGACGGGAACAGAAGCAGCCCTTGAGACACCACTTTTTTTTTTTCTAATAACAAAATCCCTATTGTTCAATCCTGGGAAGCGTGTCTGAATCGCTCTGTTTATGCCAAGGGAATAACGTGTTGCCATGCAATCTAGCAGGAGTGCTTAGATAATCTGCTCTGGAGACGGAGGGATCCAGGACCTTTCCAACTGCTGGTTTGTTCCATTTGTCTCCCATCCCTGCCTGTAGATTATGTCGCCCTGGCAATGAAGAGGAAGTCAGATGGCATCTTACCCCAGTGCCAGCAACACCTCTGTCTGAACAGGTAACACATGGAAGCACAGTGAGGACCCTGAGTGTTTTCACACTCTGTGTATTTATTTCATAGTGTGGGGTCTGCCCACTCTGTTCCCACGCCCTCGTTGTGCTCCCTTTGAGTTAATTCAGGCCTAAGCGCGACGTGCAGAAAGTTAACGGGAGTTTGTGCAGGTACATCTACACCGCAGAGCAACCGAGTCGCTTGTGCTCTGGAGTCCTGATCCCTTGGTGGGTCAAATGGGAACCCCCCTCACTATCTCTGTGCCAGGGCTTGTCCACATGAAGAACCGGGTGGTTCCAGGGTGGTGAAGCACTGGAGCAGGTCGCCCAGAGGGGTTGCAGTGTCCTGTCCCTGGAAAGATTCAAGGTCAGGTTGGGGGGTTTTGGGGGCTCTGAGCCACCTGATCTAGGTGAAGATGTTGGGCTTTAAAGGTCCCTTCCATCCCAAACCATTCTGTGATTCTAACCACTGACATTTCCTCTCGGCCCATTTTATTCTTGCGGCAAAGGAAAACAGAATTGCCTTTGCTTTGAATTCCAACCTTTGAATTCCAGATAATTCTCATCAGGAATGCACATGAATATGAATATGAACACGAACTGCTTCTTGTGGCAGCGCTTTTTAGCTTGCTTGTTTCTTCCAGCTGTGAAGAGAGAAAGCTTGATGCTTTGCAGGAGATGGATGACTTTGAGAGAGTTCAGAAAAATTTTGGTCCTGGTGAAATGGAAAGGTAATTAGCAAAAGAAGGCACTTGTTCTTAACTGTATTTTCCTCCTCACTACAAGAACGAACAGTGAGATCACAGCTGGGTGAGAAAACGGGGCAATTTTAGAACCAAGAGCTGCTGAATCTCAACATAATCAGAGCCAGGTGTTTCTTTCTGATTGTAGGGCTTGGAGTTAAGAGATGCAAAAAGGCTCTAAACATGTGCAGAAACCATAAAGCTCTTGCCTATAACAATCCAAATGGCATCTATCGTGTTTGAACAGGGTTGTGTGTTGCTTGTTTTTAATCCTGTTACTTTGATGACAAGGATCCAGTGGTGAAGTAGCTGCTAGGGGACACTTTTCCAGCAAAGAAATGGGTGCCCCAAAATCATGTTAGAGGACTTGCATTGTCATTTCCCACATGTCTGTTGTTTCATACCGCAAATATGTGCCTCCTGGGATTTGCAGGACAGAGCTTATATCTTTCCCTAAAACTGAAAAAAAATTGAGCATCGAAGTCTCCATGCACGCATGAAAAGGTGGGGATGAGGGTTAAACTCTGAACATTTTTGAGCTACTGAAAAGTCCAGACCGTGTCATTCTTTTTTCCTGCCTTGCTCCTCATCCAGGCGTGGCTGGATGGGCTGACACTCGGGCAGAGAAGTTGTCCTGTCCCTGCTTGCAGGAAGCTTGTAATCACGGCTTGGGTGGAGGTGCTACATTCTTCACCAATGTCCATAGTGAGGCCACGGTGACTTCTTGCCTTTACACACGTGATTTTACTTTTTCAGGGCAGAGAAGATCGAGCAGCTGGAGAGGATGGTGTTGGACCTCCAACAGGACGTCCTCTCTCTGAAGAAGAAGGTGCAGAGGCTGGAATCCCTGTCCTTCCAGGAGGATCCCCACCGGCAGCCGTGTGAGGTGGTGGAGCTCTTCAATGGCTACACCAAGGAACAGCTCAAAGAGACCATCCGCTTTGACCAGAAAATCAGCACTGCCTGCAAGACACTGCTCTACAAGCTCTTCACATCTGACTATATCCAGAGCCACTCCATCACGGGGCGAAGGGGCAACACTTTCCGAGAGGCGAAGCCCATGATGGATGAACGCTGCATCAAAATTATTAGGGTGCTGTTGAAGCAGAAGTTTGGAGATCACCTCAGTGACACAGTGATCACGGAGAAGATTCAAAATGTGCAGAAAGCCCTGAGGCAGAAGTTTAAGACAGAATGTCTCTGATACGTGGAGGACTTGGTGTCTCCTCCTACCCACGCTGCCTGGTGTACCTGAGCAGTCCTCCCCAGAATAAACCAGTCCAATCTGCTGCTGTTCGGCTGATTCCCCCCAGAGGAGCCAACCCCAGTGAACCCCGCGCTAAGCACAGCATCAACCTTTTGCTGCCAAACCTCTGCCTGCATTAATCGAGCGGGAAGCTTGCCCAGCTTGGCCAGGGTTTTGCACATCTGCTAGCGCTTTACAAGTTCCTCCCCGTGCAGCGTGTGTGCGAGCCTCGCTGCGGGGTGCATGGAACGATCTCTGGGCGGTTTTGATGGACACAAGCACAAAAGCTTGAGGGTTCCCGTCGGGTCCGAGGATGGGTCAGTAAATCAGCTTTGTTCCACCCTGCAGTGGGTTAGGGAGGAAGATTGGCTCTGGGGTAGAGAGTCCAGCTGCAGACCCGACGCGGCTTCTCTCTGCATGCCTGTGGTTGCCTCCTCCTGCCTGTGGGACAATATTTGCTCTCTGCTCCCAGTGAATGTGTTTTACAATTACCTGTAGTAACAGAAAGGCCAGACTCATTAAAACAACACGATAAAACATTCAGAGAAAGATTTTTTTTTTTTAAATTTTATTTTTTTTCCCCCCCTCTGTTTTAATGTAGCTGTATGGAAGAAGTGTCGTCACTAACAGAAGTCTGTTGAACGAGAGAAGAGGTTGTCACCCATGGAAATTACGCTGATTTTCCTTTCAAAACCATATTATTTCCAAGGAGAAATCCTGTACATTTTTATGACATAAGTGCGGGGGAAGGAGGGCAAAATATGGCCCACTGTAGCTACACCTTTCCTTCAAAGATCAGACACACTATCAACACAGTCTCTATAATTTAAATATAGTATTTATATCCTAGTTAATAAGTTCCAGGTACAACCAAGGATTTTGCTGTGTGAGAGGCTATAGAGAAGGGCTAGAAAGAGTCATTTTCCTAAATAGTTCACAGATGGAGTTTAGGTGAGTTAAAAGCGTTTTTAACATTAAAAGAATAAGATGCTGACCTAATAGAAGTGCTGCAAAATACCAAACGTTCCCTTTTAAAGAGGCTTCTCAGACAAGAAATGGGTTTTCTAAGTTTAATTTTTAAATTACTTCGGAAAGGAAATGTCAGTTGCTTTGGATTGATCAAAACATTTGTTTTAATTTATATGTTTTGTTCTGTTTTCACACTTTTAATTTCTTCAGAGCTACCTGGGAAATAATAACGCAAAATAAATGTATTAAAAAAATGAGGAGCTGTTCTGAGAGGAAAAAAAAAAAAACAACAACAACCTGGAAATGTGTTATTTTCAGAATTCCCCCCGCCCTTTTCTCTAGTTGAAAACCCAAATCATTAAAGTAGGGTTAATGCTATGAAGCATTTTGATATGGGAGATATGCTTGCCAACATTTTTGGCACTGTTTTCATCCGCTGTGTGTAACAGTCATGCTAAATTTCCGTAGCCAGTAACTAAAGCTATTCCTTCTGTTTTCCCGGTGCAAATGCTTTTCCTAACTCTCTGTTATGCAAACATGCCAGTGATGATTCCTCATTTGTGCCGATCTCGACTTGAGCAGCGGATGGAGCGGGTCTACTGTGATCACTTAGAGCCACCAGTGCAGCCAGAGCTTGTAAACACGCTCAAACTCAACACTCAACACGCTCAAACTGAGCAAAACTGCCCCAAAACCTCCTCAGTGCAGAAACACCCCTTAAAATACACCTGCCCTGCCAGAACCGTGTTATCTACCCGCTGCGGGCAAGACCTGCGGCTGTCGCTGCTCAAGGAAACACCCCCGGAGATGGTTTTGGTGTTGACTTATCAAAGAGAAGATCGAGGAGGCACAAACAGCCATATTCTGTGGGCACTTGCTTCGGCATCGGCCCTTGGGACTTTCACACCGCCTCGCCTGCAGATTCTGCTTCTCGTTTCCCCAGCGACTTCGCGGCCAGCAGCATGGCAGCGGGGAGATATGGAGAGGATGGGTGCTTCAGACCCACCCCTGTGAGGGATCACCAGCATCTCCTGTGTGCCCAGGGCTGCATCCAAACCATTTCCCCGAACACACATTTTTGTCTCAATTATCCCTCCCGGTGCTTCATCAGATCCTTCACCAAGCTGCAGCTTTGAAAGCCAGCTCAGCCAACAAATAAATGTTATTTATTAAAATACGTGCTGTTGCTGCCCTCCCCTGCTGAGCCCCCTCCGACGAGCTGTAGATCATTACTGCACAGGGAGGCAGAAAAACAGACCGAGAGGATGGACTCGCTGGGGGAAGCGATGGCTCCCGAAATGAGTTGTCTCTAATCAGCTCCTCTGGAAGCAGATGAGCCGGGTGACCTTTCTGCTTGAAAGGCCCTTTGGTGGCTCCCTCGGAGGTAAACTTCCCAGCCGAACACGCTTACTGATATTCAGCGAGCGCTCCTGGGAAGCGGGGCCGGCGGCGTGGGCTGATGGATGCTCCCCAGCTCTGTGTGCAGCACAGCCACAGCACTAACGAGCTGACACTCAGACGGGCCCATCTCGGCTATAAAAGTTGTCCTTGGCTCCTCTTAGCTCCACTTTGATACGGCGGAGAGGGCTGAAGAAAGGCAACGCAGGCGGCTTTTCGTTAAACTTCGTTTTTAAGGTATTTGTGAACCAGAGGCAGCGTTTCCGGGCTAATTGGGAGCGCTCGCAGACACCGACAATCAAACGTCACCATGAGGATGCTGATGCTCTCACCTCCCTGAACTCCAGCTCCAGCTAATCAGCCTCGAGAGGGAAGATCATACAGCGCTGAGATGTGGCATCCCTTTGGGGATGAAGGGGTCAGGGAAGATAGAGGAGGAGGAGGAGGGTTTATGCTTCAACTACTTCACTTGGGGATGTTCAAAGCCCGCGTCTCTCTTTAAGTGATGAAGGGCAGCTCCAGTGAATTGCCTTAACCTCCCACTTTAAAAGAATTACTGGGAGAAGCCGGACGTCTTTCTGGTGAGATGAATCGCTCAGCTGAATCCTCAGCATCTTGTTAAAAGCGATGCTCCTGTTCAGCTTCGGGGCTTTCTGGGTGCAGAAGAACGTGGGCAGCAAGGAAAAGGGTCAAAACTCGGGGTGGTCTTCAAGGAGGTTTTGCATTTGGTTCAAAAGCAACCAGAAATGGGACCTGTCAACCTTTGTGACTATGGGACAGGCATGAAATATCCAGTCCTCCCCCCCTTCAGCGGGAAGCAGAGCAGCAATGCTGTCCTCGGTGGTTTGCACAATCCACCCAGGGTGTGCAGGAATGGAGCAGGGACCTTGCAGGGCTCTGGGGTTCTCTGAGGGTCTTTGGTCCTCAGCACCCCGAAACACTGCAGTGAGGCACCACCGCCTGCCGTGCTGAAAGCCGTGTGTGGCTGCCCTGGCAGCAGTGGTGCCAGCAATACACAGGTTTTCAGGGAAAAGTGGGAACATTCCCAGCCTGCTGGGTATCGGCCAGCGTGAGGCTTCTGCGGTTTCCACTTGCGGAGGGGATGCTGATGGGTTTGCTGCCTTCACGTGGGAAAAAGTCCAGTCAAAACAAGAGGGAAATTCTCCGGTCTTTAACCCCATTTATTTCAATTTTATCTCCTTGACTCTGTCAGGGGAATTCCACTGTCCAGCACAGGCAGATTTTAATTGACTCATTTCTTCTTGGCTCGTAAGAAGCACACACTAAGTCTCTCTGTGTCTGCATCCCATAGTAACGCATCAGTTCAATGAAACCATGCAAACTGTGAGTTATCAGTTAAAGGAATAATGTTAAAATGTAATTAAATCCCTTCTTGGGTTTTAATCAAGGCTTGCAGAGCCTGGCTGCCTTTATATGAGTCCCAGGCAGTCGCCGCTGATGCTCAGAGCTCGAGGGATGCACCTGGAAAAAACCTTCTGACCCAGAAGACGTGCCTTGGTCTGTATGAGCTCAGAGCTGTGTGCCATCTCCTGCTGGCATTCAACACATAAATACTCAGTGTCACAAGAAGATTTTTTTTTTTTTTTTGTTCTGATAAGTCTTTATCTGGCTTCAGAAAGTGAAAGAGAGAAAAATACACAGAGGTGTGGTCCCAGAGCTATATGTGTACGTTGTATTTGCACTTCTGGAATATTTTTTTACAAAGTAATTTTTAAAAATCGTTTTACATTTTTCTTGAAAGCGTACCTGCATATTTTTCTTTGAGAGTGCGTACACATACCTGGTAGGTGTGCAAATAAATCAGATTTTGTAACTTTAAGCAATCTTTCATGTTTCTGCTTCAGTCGCCTATTCATTACACCTAATTTTTACCGGTATTTCTCTGTCTGCCGTACATGATTACATTATTCCAACTCATATCTCTTTATCTCCCCCATCTATTCAGAGTCAAATGGAACTGGGGAGATCGTTATCAAAACGCAGAAAGCGTAGAAATAAAATTAACCATAGCACCAGTTCTCTGTGTGCTGAATACACTGAGGAAATGAAAGGGCCTTCCACTTCTAATAAAATCTGGATATGAATTGCCTCACAAGAGCTTAAATGAATTATATTCAGAGACCAAAAAGAGAAGAGAGAGCTCAGAGCCCTTTGACTGCAGGATGGCTGCTCTCGTTGCCTTGAGGTGCAGCACATCAAAACATGCCGTGAAAGCCTGGGAGCCAGGTGTGATGTTCTGCTCGGAAAGTGAGCTTCAGGACTTGCCAACACGCTTGAGTCACAGGTCCACGGGTGGTTAAAGCCCCTCCCAGTGAAATATTAATCCCACTGAGGTTGCCAGAGATCTTCCTGCTACCTCCTGAGGGCTCAACCATGGCTTCAGCTCGTGCCCAATTCCCTTGATGATGGAGGAAGGACCCTGCGGAGGAGTGGTGGCTTCTCACCCCTGGGCTTGCCCCTCTCCCATCCTTCCAGGGTCCCAGGAAGGTTCTGGGGTATGGACGTGGTTCCTCAGCTTCTTTGCCTCAACGCTGCAAGACGAGGGCTGGCGGGGAACATGTCCCAGTTCCTCTTCCTTGTGAAGCACCGGTGTCCCCTTGTCAGCAGCATGTCCCAGGCATTTCACTCCTCATGGACGCAGTTTGCAGACATGTTTGCTTTTAAGCCCGTGTTTTATTAGGTGGGGTTTTGTGTTTGGCACAGGGAATTAGCTGGGGCAAGGGGACTGTGTGCCTAACACAATAACGGAGAAATTAGAACCCCACACGCCTAGGAGTGCATGATGCTTATTGATTGTTTCTCTTAAATATAAGCAGTGTAGCCCAGAACGTCAGGCATCCAAGGGAAGAGGAAACTGCAGAACCGACGTACTCCTGGTAATGAATAATCGTTAAACTCCGAAGGATTTTATTATTATTACCATTAATTCTAGTTGTACCATGCCCAGAGACATGGAAGGTGGAGATAGATGGGTTCATGACCTACATATTACAGGCTAGATTTTTATCCTGGTAATATGAGAAAATCAATCATTTCTTAAGTGAGAAGACTGATAAAAATCACTGACTTCAGTAAAGCAACATCGTTGCTATTCTACGTTCAGCCAGCTCACTGGAGTGGTGCTGCAGGAGGATTAAATCCCTCTTATTTATTTAAACTCAGTTTGCCCCATGGCCAGGAGGCAGTTAACACCGTCCAGTGTTCACACCTTTGTCTGTGGGCAGGATTTCCCCTTTGTGGTAACCTGCTCCTGCCAGGGTTGGTTATCTCCCCATCCCATTTGTTGTCCCCTTGGGGTTTTTTCATACCCTGAAGTCAGAAGAAATTGCCAAAAGTGAAGGAAAGCTGTAGAAAGTTCCCGCCAGCCATAGCATGGGTGGGCCAACAGTCAGAGGTTGTTCCTTTAAAGTGGTTTGGACCAAGAGTAAAATACTATCGTGATGCGGGAACCCCACTTTTCATCACACTCCCAAGATCCCCCAAGCGTATTCCTTTGTAACTCACCATATTATTGAAAAGCCCTGAGCAAGGGACTCGTTCCTCTCCTGGAAGGTGAAAAACAAAACAAGCTATAAAACACACTCACAGAATGTCTTCCTTCATTCGCCCGGCCCAAAAGGGAGCGGCAAATGGCTCTCTGCTTTCTGCGTCTTTGTGCAGCACCTGTCCCGATTCTCCCCTGAGCTGAGCCAAGAGGGAGTTGGGTTTTCTGTCTGCAGAAGTACTGCCTTTCCTTTTG